TCCGATCTCCCCGGAGCAGAAAACTCTAACCTTTTGGCTATTTCACCTTATATGCCAAGTCAAGACCTGGTATATATATATATATATATATTCCTCCTACCTGCAGTAACCGGTATGATATTGTGTTCTTCAGGTTTTAGACGGAGCAGTAGTATTTGAAAACGTTCAAATTATAGAAAAACAAGTCGAAATGAATATAAATGTAATCCAATGGATTTTGATTTAAAATTTTTTGGTATGATTTTATTATACTTAATTAATCAAAATTTAAATGAATCCGGATCAAAGAAAAAATATAATTTGTTAATTAACTATGTTTAATTGAAAGAAATTCAGAATCGACATAAAAAAAAACTAAACCCAAAATATGCACTCCCCTATATAACTACTGGGATCAAGATTCGAGTATTTACTGTTTTTTTTATAGACTAGAAATGAAGCATTGATTATTCTTATTTTTATACAAAATTATTTAATTATATTAAACTAGAACCCAGAAATAATCATTCCGCACAAAATTTCTAACCAAAACGGACGGTCATCTGAAATAAAATATACCTCAAATAATATTCTTACTTAATAAAATATCATACCAAAGCATCGTATTGAGCATTCTCAATATTAAAAATTTAAAACATATTAAAAAGAAACACATTATCTGTTTTTTTATCCATAACCTACAGAAACATATCCCAAAAATATTATTGCCCCATTTTTTTGAATTTAAATCGATATTTATAACTAAAAAATCAAATGAAATTAAAACGAGTAATGTACGACGAATGACAAGAAATTCATAAATAAACGAATGGTAAATAAGAAAAACACGGTGGCTTTGAAAAGTCGTCCAATGCGAATGCCAAATGGTCAAAGGCTTTGACCTCCCCCGAGGAAGCCTTTGTTTGACCTCTCCGTTTCCTTCTCTTTTCACCGCACAGTACAAATAATATTTAGATTCGGATTCATTCATCTTCACCGCACAGTACAAATAATATTTCACCGCACAGTACCTCTCCGGTTCGATTTAATTCAATTTTTATTCGAATTCAATTCAAATTATTTTTATTAAGAAAAAAATATTTATTTTCTAGAAAATTTTCCAATTGTTAAGTGTTATTGTTATTTTATTATTCTATTTTTTATTTTAGAAAACCCAAATTCGGTATTTATAAGCGATTCGGTTTAGATTTGGTTATATATTTTTCGGTTTGGATCGGTACGGTTTTAGACGGCCAACCCAAATGACCACCCCGTATCATCTCCTTCATGATTATATATATAAAGCCTGAAACGTGTTGTATCTGAACTGTAAGGCAAATTAGGAAAAGGAAAGACAGGTTTGTGCAAATAATATTTCTGCAGAACCATTTTCGTTTTAAGCTTACCGTGAAGAAGAGAGAGAGAGAGAGGTTCTTGGCTTTGTTCGAAGCTCTCCAATGGCAGAGCAAGTGAAGGAGCGTACGTTGGAGGAGACATCAACTTGGGCTGTCGCCGTCGTTTGCTTCGTCTTACTTCTGATTTCCATTGTCATTGAACATCTGATTCACAAGATTGGATCAGTAAGTCTTCGTCTCTTCGTCCTCCATGCTATCTTCGATTGATTCAGAAGGTTGCAGAGCCCTTGAATCATCTCCAAGATCAAGTTCTGTGATATGGGTTTTGTTTATTTCTTCTTGTTTTGTTCAAACCTGCGTGCTTGTGATCTGAGAAAGCGAGAGAAATAAGACGACTTAGTAAGAAACGAAGTTTCAGAAACAGAGGAGCTGCAGGGGAGGAAAGCGTTATATAGTGATTTGTTATGGTCGGAAGATTACAGTTTCAACTTTCTAAGACCAAAAACCCAATAGGGTTCGCATGATTTTTCATGTTCTGTGTTCATGTGACGTAAAATTCTGGATATTCCTCATAACGGTTGCTCTGTTTCTGCAGTGGTTCAAAAAGAAGCACAAGAAAGCTTTGTATGAGGCTCTTGAAAAAGTGAAAGCAGGTAAAATACAAAAAATCATATATTTTTTTTAATTTTCGATACAATCTTGTTCATGTTTACCCTTCAATTCAATCGGTTAACACACTTCCTCGATCTAAGTAATGGGTTTTTCTGTGTCTGAATGTGTTACAGAGCTTATGCTGATGGGATTCATATCACTTCTGCTAACAATCACACAAGGAATAATCTCCGACATTTGCATATCCCAGAGTGTGGCATCGACGTGGCACCCTTGCAGCACCTCAGAAGCCGCAAAAAAGTACGGAAAACAAGATGCCGAAAAGGAAGAGGAAGACGAAACAAGCAGCCGAAAACTTCTTCAGTTGGCTGAATCTTACATCCCTCGTCGGAGTTTGGCCACAAAAGGTTACGACAAATGCGCCGAGAAGGTATAAGAACACATCCTTATTCCTTCCACGAGAAACGAGTGTCTGATTCGGAAAAAGCTTTTCTCGTTTGTTTCAGGGGAAAGTTGCTTTTGTATCGGCATATGGCATACATCAGTTGCACATATTCATCTTCGCCCTCGCTGTTTGTCACGTGCTCTATTGCATCATAATTTACGCGTTGGGGAAAACCAAGGTACGCACATATATATGCTCGAGATTGTCTAAGGATATATAGTATGCGTCGGATAAAAGGAGAAATGACGGTTTTTTGCAGATGAGGAGGTGGAAGAAATGGGAGGACGAGACAAAGACAATCGAGTACCAATATTCCAACGGTATGAGTTCCATCGTTTTAGACAAATATCGTTTTCATATAAGTTCATTGGAAAGCGAGAGGCTTTATCCAACTGAACAAAATATGCAGATCCAGATAGGTTCAGATTCGCGAGGGACACGTCGTTCGGGCGAAGACATCTGAGCTTCTGGAGCAAGTCAAGTATAACATTATGGATTGTAAGTTTCATATTCAAAGTTTCTAGCTTTGAATTAAATTTTCGGGATAATACCAAAGTTATATCCGAAAAACGAAGAAATCAGATTTCGATCTGAATGAATGTCTTTTATATTGCAGGTGTGTTTTTTCAGACAGTTCTTTGGATCTGTCACCAAGGTTGATTATCTCACGCTCAGACATGGCTTTATAGTGGTAATTTCAAGATCATGAGTTTTATCTTATTCCCATCTTCGACACTTAACTCGATAAAAACCCGTAACGTATGGCATGATTCTCAGGCGCATTTAGCACCTGGGAGTGAAACGAGATTTGATTTCCGTAAGTACATTCAGAGATCGTTGGAGGAAGACTTCAAAGAGGTTGTCGGAATCAGGTGGGACCACTGCTTCAACTCAAAGCGTTTCCCTTTGAGTTTATAACTTATTAGCTTAACCCGACATTCAAACGTGTATTTGTTGATTTGTGTACTGCAGTCCCGTTATCTGGTTCATCGCCGTGTTATTCCTCTTGTCCAACACAAATGGTATTACGATAATCTTCTTGAGTATTCCTCGTACATGTATTGGTGTTTCTAATGCCTTGTAACATGTCAACTTATTCTTCTTCATGTTTTTTTTTTCTATAAAACTTGGACAGGATTGAACTCTTACCTGTGGTTACCGTTCATTCCCCTAGTTGTAAGTATACATATGCTTAAACAGAAAGAAAAAGACGATTTTCTCCTTGAAATAAGCCGGTATCGTCTTCGACTGCAGGTGATTCTAATAGTGGGCACAAAGCTTCAAGTGATAATAACAAAGTTAGGGCTTAGAATCCAAGAGAAGGGAGATGTTGTGAAAGGCGCACCGGTGGTTCAGCCGAGGGATGACCTCTTCTGGTTCGGCCGCCCTCGCTTCATCCTCTTCCTCATCCACTTGGTTCTCTTCACGGTACTTCCATCCATCTTTCCGAGTACCTTCAATACATTTTATATATATCAAGCTAATCAAGCTCCTGATGATCTTGATTCTTTCTACTGCAGAATGCGTTTCAGCTCGCCTTCTTTGCTTGGAGCACGGTAATCAAATGTTTCTGTTAATCTCATTAGTCGAAAGATTCGTACGAAAATCCTGACTCCGCGATAACATTGCAGTATGAATTCAATCTCAAGAACTGTTTCCACGAAAGCACGGAGGACGTGATCATCAGACTCGTGACAGGGTAAAGCTACATCACGATGCCATTGAACACAGATCTTGAAGCAAAACACGTTTTTAGTCTTGACCATAACTTTTTCTGTGACGATCGTTTTCAGGGTCATCGTGCAAATCCTTTGCAGCTACGTAACTCTTCCGCTCTACGCTCTCGTCACTCAGGCAAGGACATTTTCTTTAACGACATATAGTCTCTAATGCTTGCTTTTGGTCGACTTATCTGACAATGTAATTGACCTGTTTCCGCAGATGGGTTCAACGATGAAACCGACGGTATTCAACGAAAGGGTAGCGGCCGCGTTAAAGAACTGGCACCGCACGGCAAGGAAGCAAACCAAACATAGCAGACATTCGAACTCGACCACGCCTTTCTCGAGCTGGCCGACAACTCCTATCGGCAACTTCCGCAACCGCAGAGTCGCGAGTTTCCCGGCTTCGCCTTCCCGGAGAAGCTCAGACTTCGAAGCCGAAACGTCCACCCATCATTACAGTGACTCAGACGAAAGGCCTGACGTGGAGCTGCCTCCCGAACCGGAATCTGTTCAGACACGACACGAGATCAGTATAAACCTGACGGATTTCTCATTCAAGAGACCATCCGGGTGATTTCAAGATTAGTTTATTATGGATTCTTTGATGAAGTGCTCGTGTGTATTGCGTTTTCTGTCTAAAAATGGAGTTTTCGTCAATCAAACACTGCAAATGTGTAAAGAAATGCAGTGGGTGACTTGAAAATAAGGCAAGCAAGTCTATATGGAACGAACTGCAGATTTCATCACATTTTACGAATATTTTTCGAACCTACCTCAGTATTTACTCTGACTTTTCAGATAGTTGCTCAAAATATCGAGATTTTTTTGGTAAATGAAAAAAAAAATCAATATTTTGAGCAACTATGTTAAAAGGAAAAAAAAAATAAAAATATTATAGCAAAAAAATACTATGTTAAATTTTTGTTCCATTTTTGTTCTTTATTTTTTTTATTCTGTATATTATATGAATTACATGCATTTCGTTCAGATTGGATTTAGAGTTTACTCTGAGTTTTGTTTTTATTTAAAATTATATTTTTGCAATTTTACCCTTTATTTTTATATTAGGCTCGGGTTCAATTATTTAAGTGTTTTTCAATTTTAATATATATATTTATTTCTCGAAATGATAATGTTTTTATACGATTAAATTGGTTGACTTTTGTACAGTAAAAATTGAAAATTGTCCGGTGGCAAAGGTAAAACACGTCACATATTGATTAGATGTTTGACACACCGCTTCTTACAAAGACAATTTTATGTAAAAATTAGAAAAACACACACACATTGGATCAAATATCATAGAAAAGCCGTTCGAAGAGCTCCAAGTGCGGAGCCTCCAGGCAGATATAGAGCGAGAGGCCGCCCTCTTCCGGCGGACCAGACAGTATATACCCTTTTCCCTCGCTCCGTATCGTCGCCGGCGCCACGTAAAACGGATTTCCCCAGCCGAAATCCATTCCGTACAACGGCATCTGTGTCCAGCTCACCATCTCCAGGTTAGGGTTCTTGGTGACTGGCCTCCCCGAGTGGCCCAGCGAGACGTGACGATTGTCGCGCAAGAAAGCGAGCCCCGACCTTATGTACTCATCGTCCACTCCGTCTACGGTCTTCCGAATCCGAGCCGCCGTAAACGACAGCGTTTCACCGAGAATCTCGCCGGAAAATGCCGCGCAGGCCAAGACTTGAACGACGTTGCCGAAGGACAGGGGTGGAAGTGGAGGACGTAATCTAGGCCGAGCATTTGCGGCGAACAGAAGGACTGTCCTCTGGTCGTCCGCAAGTCCACGCGCTTTGCACGCGCATCGCCACACGTGGGCAGTGAGAGATTCAAAGACACTGTGTTTTCTGCTGTCCGAATATGCATTTGCCTTGTTTCTCAAGGTACTGATCTGGTCGGGGGAGATCTTGAGGTAAGAAGCTGAACTATCGATATGATTTGGTGGAGTTTTCTGGTGGGATACGAGGGCGCTCGTGTCGAATTCGAGGTGGTCAAACTTCGGGGACGTTAAGGCTAAGCCACGGATTGATTGGCGGTCGTGAACCGGTGCCTCGATCGGACGGCCACGAGCCATGCTGGCCCATGAGTTGATGAAATGGACGGCAGATGGGCCGTCTGCGACCAAATGATGGTTTGAAACCGCGAGACACATTCCTCCGCATTTGAAGTAAGTCACCTTGCAAAGTTTCAAGAGCATTAAAAAAAATCAAAGGTGGGGAGAGAAACCATTTCAAGTAATCGGAAAATTGATTCAGGGTTTCTAAACACACAAAATTGTTTTTATCAAAAAAAAAATTCTCCACTAATTGGTGTCCCATTAGTCGAGATGTGACATAATCATTTCAAAGTATTGGGTATATGTGACTAAAAACTAGGATTAAGTGGACTGTCTGGACCTCCTAGTTATAAAAAAAATTATTATTATATTTTTAGCTGTTAAATAAGGTTGTGGATGATGAAAATTTTATCAATCAGTTTTCATATTATCCTAAATATCTAAAAGATAATATGTTTCTTTTAACAAGTGCAACTAAAACCATAAATGTTATCTCCTAAATGCAGTACACCTGTTCAAACTAATTTTTTTATTTTATATTTTTGTAGAAAATCTAATGAAATGTCGTTGTCGATTTCTGATAAGGTACGAATTGGGTATGAAACGGTAAAGTACCGTAGAGAAAGAGATGGGATATGAAGAAATATCGTTGGAATAGTCGACCGTTGGAATAAGCAGCTTAGACTTGGAGTTAGGGCGTAACTTCCCGCCTAACATCTCGTCCAAGCTACAATCAGCTTCAGCAACAATGAACATTACTCCTTTTGCATTACACTCGACCTGAATCCGACCGTTCTCGTCTTTCCCGAGTCGACCGGCCAGCGGATAGAACGGGACGAGGACCTGGCTCAGAGACTGTTTCAGAATCCGAGTGATTTCGCCGTCTCCAATGGTGCTTGGCTTGAAGAAATGAAGGGTATGGTTATGGACATTTGGTTGGAAGAGATCGTAATCCGACAGCCAGAGAGATCCTCCGGGCGTGTCTCTGGCCGGACACACAAGGGCTGCCTCTTTCACATCTATCTTCATGTCTGCTGCACAATATATAGTATTGGTACTTGTCACTAAAGATATGGCACGAGTCCACAACATATTCAATCCGTGAATTATTGTTCAATATTATAGCACATATATTCACAGTAATTTAGCGAAAATGGGATAAACATATCGTAATAAATAGATAAGTAAATCTCTCCATATCGAGAAATTAAATTAAGAGAAGTATACGACGAGAATATTACCTGATTAGGCGCGGCTAGAAAGTGCAACCTTGACGAAGATTGAATATCGGATGGCCTAAAAATATATAGAAACTGCGTACGTGGTTTACGATATATATATATATATATATGGAAATGTGGATATGAATATGGTTGAGAGTAATAAATGAGACATGGTCTACAATAAGTGCATTCATTGCATTGTGTGTAACTACGTACGACATAATAATAAATGTTATTTGATGGCATTCGTCTGAATTCAATTCGATTGGACTGCCCGGCAACCAAAATATGAATGGCCTGTGTTTCTACACACCTACACAAATACTATAAACAATACAATACTTATGGATGTCAAAATATTTTATTTAACTAAAATAAATATTTAACTATAAAGTTCATAGGAAAAACCATATCCATGGCCATGTAATATTACATCAACTGATCCCACGATCGATATAAGATCCCACCAATATAATGATGTCCCGTATTTGTATGCTGAGGATAGATAAACCTAATGCATATTTGTTCAACGAGGAATCCAAACAGTTACACAATTCATACATCTGTTAACTCTCGTGTCATCGACAACGATTGTAGAGGAAGCAAAATCATATAGAAACCTGTTGGATCAAAACACATCAACGAGATAGCTATCTAGTCAATTTTGGCCTTTTGTTTTCCGAGTTGGAAAATGAAAAGAGAAAAGGTGCCTCTTTTCAAAGAATAGACGAATGACCCAAAAGGAGAAACTGGTGGAAAAGGGTATTTACATCATTCAGAATCTATGACTAGCTCACTTGCGTCCCATCTAGACACAAATACTCGGCCGTCTTTGCCAAATTCAGCAACTCGATGTCTCAAAGCCACAACCTTTTTTCCTTTTCTTCCCTCGTTTATGCGCCGATTGTAATAAAAGCATGGGAGTCTAAGGGAGAGGCCGAAACAAGAACAATAAAACGAGAGAGAGAGAGAGAGAGAGGGAGAACGATAAAATGAGAGAGAGAGAGAGAACCTATGTCGGAACATCAAAATTGTTGGGTTTCTCCTAAATCAGCTGGATATATGTACACATTTGTACACTGTTGGTGCGGGCATCAATCAGCCATTGAGCTTCGCCAAGAACTGGCCGAGATTGTATTCTTCTGTGTATTGTGATTGATCCCAAAGTTCCTCTAAACTCCCGAGAATTGCCTTCATTCCCTTTCCAGTTCCCGTCATTTTCAGGTCACCTTCCTCCGATTGCTTTGAGGACATACCCTACGACATTTGGAATTCACAGATTACCTCAAGTTGAAAAAAAAAATGGAGAAAAAACATACATCATACTAAAGGAAACTACTCCCTTGTAACATCAACGACTGTCTTTACCAAAAGCTCAAAGGGAATAGTGTGAAAGGTACCAACAAAAATCACCTTTTTCGATGTTTCAGCTGATGCGAATAAATCAAGCAACTGATCAGTGTTCATCGTCTTAAGACTAGCGTTCTCTGCATTGATGACTGCGTTGGCGACTGACAATTTGAATCTTTGAAGACTCATGACTTTTTCTTCAAGGGTTCCCCGCATAATAAGACGGTGTACATGTACGACTCTCTTCTGCCCCAACCTGTGGGCTCTGTCCATTGCCTGCCATGTTCGTTCGAGTCAGAAAATTTCCAAACAATAAACATGAGAAAAGCAAATGAGTGAGAACTCAAGAGTTATTCACAGGAAGATATGTCTCCTACTATGTCTATCAATCCTTAGATAGTGGAACTTAACAAATTACTCGCACAAATCTAAAAGCGAAATAATTACCTGAAGATCACGCATCGGATTCCAATCATGCTCCATAAAAACGAGTGTGTCAGCAGAGGTCAGGTTCAAACCAAGTCCCCCAACTATATGAAAAGAGAAGTAACGTTAGCAAACTTTAGAACAAAAATCTCTGGTTAAAAACATAAGAAAAGACCGAAGTCATACCGTGTGTTGTAAGCAGTAGAACATCAATTGTAGGGTCCGAATTAAAAGCCTTCACAATCTCAAATCTTTTTTCAGGTAAAACTGACCCATCCAATCGCAAATATGTCACACTGCTTTCAATAAATAAAAAATAAAAATGCATCAGCAACTTATTCAAGCAGCTCCTCATGAAGGATGCAGAGAATAATAGAGCAACACATGAACCGCAGAAACAAACAGATCATGTAGTTCAGAGGATAGAAACCTCATCTGGTCAGACTTTTCAAATAGAAATCAATCATTAGGCCACTATGGAAATCGATCATGGTGCTACAGAATAAGAATGTGATAATAGTCATCTAAAGGAATATAAAATGTTGATATGATACTCACCTTTTCATCTGGGCTTGGAACAAGTCTTTTTCAATAATGTCCAACAAAGCCTGCATAAAATTGACTTGGTTAGATTGTACAAAATTCCGTAAGAAACGAAAAGAAAGGACAAGTAAAAGAACACGAGATGCAAGATCAATAAAAAATGTAATTACTTTATGTTGCGCAAATATCAGAACTCTGTGCTGGCCAACAGCAACAGTGCCTTCTGAAGAAGCATCAGAACCTATTCCACATTCTTCTAAAATTTCCTGAAGAGCTAAAAGTTTTGGAGAATGTTGAACTTTATGAAGCTCAGCAACAATGTCGGAACATCCAGGTATCATCGATGACAATTGAGAAGTCAGTGGCTCTGAAATTTTTTCACCGAGAACAAGCAATGGATGACTGCAGAGCTTAAGCAGGTATTGAAGTGCCTGGAAAATCAGAGACCAAAATATGCATCATATCTTCTGATACAAGAGATATTTTAATTTACATACTTTTAAAGGTAACCAAAATGTTGCTCCAACAATGCAGGACGAAGACTTTACCTGGAAAACATGGGTAGATGCTTTTGGTGGAGCGACATCCTCACTGCCTGATTCTGCTGATCCATTAACTTGTATAATGCTAGATATTTCTTGTTTAACATGTGAACCAGAGAATTGTTCATAAAGCTTCAACTGAACAGGACTAAGGTCACAGTATCGGTCCTGAATGATTTTTTCGGGTAAGTCAGACAGGACCTCATCTTTTGTCCGCCGTAATAAGAATGGCATTACCTATCCAATACAAAGATGTCATCAGGTGATGACATGACCAGAACATCCTATTAGATCACATGAATGAGTCTTTTTTAGAAAAAACCAGAAATCAATTCCACGGAGATGTTAATAACCTGCTTATGCAATGCTTCCATCGCTAGTACTCCAGACTCAGCATCCTTGGCAGAGCACTTAGGATCTCTGGCCGCTAGCAGTGGCTTCCCGTAAGTGGCTTGAAACTGCACAACAAACGAACCAAATTTAAGTAAACGATGTCTTCAAATCAATTACTTTTTGTTTGAAGCCAATTTGTTGCCAACTACTCTCATGAATACCATCGTCAAGAAAGTCCTATTTGGAATACAACCCTACTCAGTACCCAAGACCCAAACAACTTGATATTAACTGAAGCAATTGGCTTAAGCCTAACATTTTTACCTACAACACTTTCTTGAATTACTTTGACTCTGATAGTCTGATGCCAATGAATTTCTGATATACCCCAAATTTACAATTTATGAAAGCACTCAGTTATATCAAACAAAATAACTACTACGAATATTAATTGGCTAATACCTGTCTCTCTGTCCCCAGAAATCCTGGCATCAAAAAGTCAAAAAGAGACCACAACTCCATGACATTATTCTGCACAGATGGAAAAAATGAATCAGAAGAACAAAGCGCCCTTGATAATATTTTAGGAAATTCAGCACTCCTATCTGACCTGTATTGGTGTTCCACTAAGTATTAAGCGGTGCTGAGCCTTCAACTGCTTCACTGCTACGGTTATTTTAGATTTCGCATTCTTTATAATATGCCCCTCATCCAGAATACAATAATTCCATAAAAACTGTGTAAGATAATCAGTATCTTTGCGGACCACATCATATGATGTTATAATAACATTGTACTTCTTGAACTGCTCACGGAGAGAAACGCGGTCTTGAGCAGAGCCAACATACTGCAACACGCTTAACAAAGAAGGGTCGATATACTTCTCAATCTCAAAAGCCCAATGCCCAACTAGTGTTGAGGGGCAAACAATTATAGATGGAAAGACATCTGTTTCATCTTTTGAAGCAAGGCGCTCTGCTACATCAGATGCCACAATTGCAGATGCTTGAAGCGTCTTTCCGAGCCCCATATCATCACATAGAATCCCGTGAAGCTTAAAACGTTTCAAGAACCCTAACCAGTTTATTCCTTCCTGTTGATACCTGAAAACAAGAACCAATATGACACACTACAGCAATCAGTTATCCCAAAGCAGAAAACAAATATCTTTTTCCTCCTAGCTTGTTTCAGTTCATTCTAACAGGTGTGATGTCCTACCATTGCTAGCAAGAATAAACCCCAACTTTGCATCAATGCGAACCAGGAAAAAATAAAGAAAAAAACGGCTTACTACTGAATGCTGCACAGAGAAAGAAAGAACCACTGTAATAGCACAAGGTGAATATGAGAACCAGACTACCTTCTTAATGTAACATTCAACTCAGTGCAGAGTTTGTAATCTTCTATGTGGGAATTATCAAGTAGCTGCTCCAAAAATTGTGCATCATCTGTATTGCCGGATAGATCTTTGCTCAATCCTTCAGGAGGGTGAACTCCTCGTGCTAATGGAAGCAGTGGTACAAGAGCAGCAAAGCTACGTGTGACACTTTGCCTAACCGAACTTTCAACATCGCTCATGCACCTCAGCAGGGGAACAACCAATAGAGGGGCGTATGGAACCAGCACTACACCCAGCCCTTGAACAAGCAAACCAATAAGCATTCCTG